TTTTTCCCCCATCTGTGTGGAAAGCCAAGAAAACAACATGCTTCCCAGGGAGCAGCCCTGTCTCTAGTTGTTGTATATTCTTTTATGCATTCCATCAACAAAATATTTATGAGGTGCCTATGTGCCAAATAAAGATTGTCTTTTTGATAACTGAATTATTTCAGATAAAGAATAAAAACAAATTTGCAAATCCCTTCACTCTTCCAAGTCAAGAGTGGATGGGCATTTGAGAAATTCCCAGGTGTACTAGTCAACTTTCTATTACTATAACAAAATACCTGAGACCGGGCACTCTACAAAGAAAAGAGCTCACATAGTTCTGGAGGTTCACAGTTATGAATGCCTGGAGCTGGTATCAGTTCAGCTCTGGTGTGAAACTCAGGGCACATGGCATATGGCAGGAGCACTTGCAAAGATGGAAAGACGACATGGAGAGACAAGAAGCCAGAACCACAGAAGGGGCCCATAACAAACTTGTACCAGGCCCCTGCTACAGCTTGGGGAGTACTCCCCCAAGGCCCAGTGTTGAAGTCTTGCTTGCTTTCTTGCTGAGAAATAGTGGAAGATTTAGAAGGTGGAATCTATTGGGAGGTCTTTAGGTCATTAGCAGGGCACTTGGAAAGGGTTGGTGAGGCTTTGGACTTTTCATCTTTTTCTTTATTCTCTGATAATTAGGTGAGCAGTTTTACCATGCTGTTCATTCCCATCATGATGTGTTGCCTCACGACAGGCCCAAAAGCAATGGGGTCAACCAGTCATGGATTGGAACCTCCAAAAACTATGAGCCAAAAATAAGCCTTTACTCTGTATAAGTTGATTGCCTGGAGTATTTTATTATAGTGATAGAAAGCTAACTATCACAGCTCCATTTCTGAAAGGTTCAACACTATGTCTACATGACCATACTGAGGGAAGACCAACTTCATCATTGGAGGACAAACCACATCCACACTGCAGCACCATGGAACCATACACAAGATGTGCTGCCCAAGAGGCTGTGGCCAAGTGTGGTCAGAAACTCAGAGGGTTTTCCTCTGTCTACCTCTGAGTGTTAAAATGGGCTGCACAGAGATGTCACAGCAGCCAAACTTACTGTGCCCTTTCACCTTCATGTGTGTACACACAGCTCGATGCCTTTGGCAACAGAAGCTTTCCTTTGCTCGTCCCTTCCTATCTAGACCTATCTACCTCCTCTGTCTTTGAAGACTTAGTTCAAGCATCATCCCTATAACTTCTTGTAGTCTTCCCTGATTCCCAAAACTCAACTGACCCTTATCCACACTCCCTACTTTTGTGCTTCTTTGTACTCCATAATTTTACTCCCTCACAGTGGATCACATGATCATTATTCTTTCTCATTTTTCTCCTTAACTGGGCGAAATTTTCTTGTGAACAGGGCCTAGTTCTTTCATTTGTATGTCTAAGTCACGTGCATAGGCTTGAAAAGCAATCCAGAGAAACAACTGGTATCAGTAGCAAACTTCAAATTCACGTTTCCAGCAAACAGAACCTTAAACCTAGAGGCTCTGCTGTTATCTTGTTAGGCTCACTGAAGGTTTGAAAGTAGAATCTATTTTTAAAAAGAGCCTAAAATTCAAAGCTGAATAGCATCAGTCAAAATAACAGCATCAGTTGACTCAAGTTTTTCCTTCTCTATTTACAGTAAAAGTCCCACCAAGACAGTATAAGTTTCAGTGTGCCAGAGGGTAAATTCTGTGTGTGGTAGCCATCTACTACTCAGATGCTTGGAATATTTGTTCCTTTAAACATACAAAGCTATATAAAGTCTACTCGAAGTTTTAATGAGCGACAGTCTTAAAACTCTCCAGCAGTGTCCACAGATAGCTTAAAGTTAATGTGGCTTAATAGTTTCCTAGACATTCAAAAAGAAGTAGTTTACAGAATTAAAGTTTCCCTCACAAGGCATGGTACGTGATGCATGCTAATAATCCCAGCTTCTCAGGAGGCTAAAACAGGAGGATTGCAAGTTTCAGGTCAGCCTGGGCAAGTAAGAAATCTTGTTTCAAAATTAAGAAAAAGAAAATGGCTTGGACTTAAAGCTCAGTGGTACAGCACTTGTCTACATATAAAGACCCTGAGTTCAATCCTCAGCCCTGCAAAACTTAAGTCTTCCCTTGCATGAAGTAAATTATACTTTATTTTAAACCAGTGCTAGAATCATGAGTAGGTTGCTTCTGCTACACCCAGTGACGTCAGCCCAGGGTTGGTGTCAGCCTAGGAAGGTTGACTGTTATTCTACTCTTCTCCCAAACTTTCAGAATAAAATAAATTGGAAAAAAGAATCCCAATAGCTATATCTTTCACTAGTCACCAAATCCAAGTATAAATCACTTCATTTATACTATGTTGAAACCAGAAAGAATATTATAGAACAATTAACCCGACTTTCACCAATTAAATTAGTAAACAGAGTTCTGGAATAGTGAAGAGATCTTCTTTCTTACTGAAACACATTTAGACAATGGCAAAACCTAATCTGCTCCTTACTGTGAATTAGTACACTTTGCACGATGATGAATGACTAGGTTGGATCAGATATCTGTACAATGAATTCTGTTTCCAGTGCAAAATACAAGTTACTGTTTAACTCTCGATTGAACTTTCCATTAAAAGCTGATTTGTTCTGTAATGCATACTTGTCATTTTAATTTATTTTATATGGATTCTAAGTACCTTTAAGCATTGGGACATACCCGTGCTCCTCTTGTTGTTTGGAGAAAAGAAATGGAAAGATGGGAGACTGTATGGGTGAGAGGTAAGAGGCAGTGGAGAGCCCTGGGAGGTAAGTTTGAGAGCATTTCTTCAAGTTTCACTATCCGCTTAGCATGCAGAAGCTCCTTCCTTTCTATGGGTGGGTGCTAACAGCTCCACAGCTCCACAGTTCCACCCTTAGAATTTTACTCTCTGGCAACATTGTAATTAGACATACAATTTTATCTATACTGGTCACAGATTATGAAAAAACAGAATGGCGTATAATAATTGCAGTATTCTACACATTCCAGGAAAGTAAAAAAACAAGTTCACTAAAAAAAAAAAAAACAAAAAAAAAACCAAGACCTTGCTTTGATATTCTGCACAAACGTTCTTATATAGGAGCACAAAAATTTTCTTTGTATCAAAAGATTCACCAAATGTGGAGATGGAGATGTGGCTTAGTGGTAGACTGCTTGCTGAGCATGCATGAAGCTCTGGGTTTGCCCCATAGCACACACACATGCATGTATACACAGACTCACAAAGTGCATCAGTACCGCTGCTGACAGTAATAAAAGATATACAAAAAATAATAGAGATAATTTTTTAAATGTCCCATCCATATGTTTTGATAAACATTATGCATACTTACAGGAATATATAGGGCAAAATTAGTAACAATGTCAAATTCTCAACAAACATTTATTGATTACTTAAAAAGTGCTAAGTAATGGGTCATAGGATCCCAAAATTCCTGAAAGACTGGTTTTGCCAACATCCTAGAGTGAACTGTTCACCAATGAATGACGTAATGAGCATATGCACCAATTTCAAATAATAAGTGGGCTAAAAACATTCAGTAATGTAGTGAGAAGGTCAAGTTGAAATTTTTATAATTACAAAAATAGAAGAGGAAATAATTAAGTATCATCTCATGTTCAGGGAAGTTTGGTTGCCTTTCAGCTCTCTGTGCCCTGCCCATTTCTCAGGCTTTTGGTAGAGTACATGAGAGGGAGTGAGAGCAATCAGCAGGATCTAGCATTAAAACCCTTCCTCCTTCCCAGGGATGGTCCGATAGTCAGTATCGAATCCCTACTTGAAATCTAATTATTGCAACTTGACTGCCACTCACTTATTTTATCTGCCTCTGTTTAAATAATTTTTGCTTTAACCAGCAAGGAATGGGTCCTTCATTTTCAATCACCAGAAAGTACTGTTGCAAACAAGTACTGTGTTCTGATACTATCTTCTCAAAAATCACTTTGAGATTATATCTGGGGTGCAACTTATCAAAAGGAAGGCTTAATTTTTAAAAAACATAAGTCCTAGATTCATATTTATATTCACTAAATAATACAGCTGTGTTAGACAAATATTACCAGTGCCTTTAGGGTTAGAGTCAGGTTGTACAAGGATCATGTTTATTTTTTTAAATAATGGTGGATCAAACTACATTTATTCAAATGCATTTTTTAGGGGAGAAACATCCCTACATCTCTGCATCAGGTAGGGTTGTAGAGTTAAATTTTCTAACAAGATGTTTGTTCTTCTGTTCCCTATAGGTACTCAGGACTCCCCCCCAGAACACTGATCCATCTAACATTGTTAGCTAACGAATACCCCTGTGTCCAAGGGCTTTCCTTTTGTCCAGCAACCCACCTACTTGTATACAATGGAATCAAGGAACAAAGAACAATGAGAAATCATCTCTGCCTCAGTACAAACCCGACTTCCTCCCCATCCCCTGTTCATTAATAAAGGTTATCATTTTACAGCTCTACTAAGTGCCCGACATTTTTCTGAGTGCTTCATACACACAAAATCACTTGACCCTCACAACAAGCCTATGAGGCAAATACTCTTAGTGTCTCTTTTTTAGAGATAAGGACACTGAGATACACAGAAGGTAAATGCATTGCCAAAGCTTACAGATAGTAAGTAGTGAAGGCTAAATTCAAAGCATATGATTTGATGTTGGCATCTACATTCTTTATCATATTTTTTTTACTCTGAATAAGCACTTGTAGAATTGGTATCTCTTTGAAGAAAATGATGTTCTAGATACTAAATAATGTGTAAAATATTCCATCCCCACCACCAGCTAGGATATTCCAAAATCTCAGTACTGTTTACAGATGAAGAGCAATGCCTAGTCTGCAATCATGCACCTAGATAACCTCAGCTGAGGCACAAACCACAATGCTGCTATAATCTCTGGGCATCCTCCCTCCAGTAAAGACTCAGCAAGTCTCATCTTTAAACTAAAATAATGTGGTTCTTACCTTTCCAGGCATGAGTGGGGCAAGGCTGCCAGTCCTTTGCACATCTTGGTAAATGGGTTAGCTTCTTAGCTTTAAACAAAACTTCTTAAGAGCAAAACGAGTCTTTGAAAAGTTCAGCACTGTCTGGAGCTCTTTCCCGCTGAGCAATATATAGAGGCTCTCTTCCAGCCCTCTGTGGCTTGCTGGACCAATCTGGAGCTTTAGAGCAAGTTGCAGGCTGGAGAGCAGCAGCAAGCATGTGTGAGGTGGAGGCTGGAATCCTTTCCCTGCTTGCTGCAGGCATTGCATGAAGTTTTTCTGCTTTATCACAACACTGCTGCTGATCCAGCTAGGGCAGGGTTAGGCCCTAGATTGCACTCATGCCCTTTATGTCTGAACTCTGTAATCTCAGGCCAGCTACAGCAAAGATGTGGGCTCTCTCGAAGAGCAAAGTGCCTCAGGCCCCTTTAGATCTGTCAAAGTGATAGACAAGGGCCCCTGGAGATCACAGAGCTAAGCTTGCTTTCACCAGTGAAAGAAACTTTGTTTCTTTAAAGGTGGAGGGAATGTGTGCCTGAGTATTTACCATGTGCCAGGCACTCTGATACAGGGAATTAGCTTAAATGTTTTATGGTTTTTCTTATATGAGAACTCCAAAGTATAAATCATATAAAGCACAAAATAAAAGAAAGATGATAGGAAACAGGTATGTAGACTTTGTAGAGATTGGGGGAGATGGGAGGGAGGGGAGAGAAATGGAGATTAAAAAGCATGAAGATGTGAGATATACACATAAATATATATATAATATATAATATATATAAATTCCTTACAATGAATATCTTCATTATGTATTGCAAACAGGTACTAATAAAAACATTAAAAAAAGAGAAAACTCCCTGATCTTGAGACCCAAACATATCTACCAGTACAATATAAGTAAGCAAGGTAGGAAAGGGGGTAGGCCCAGGGTGTTGGGAGCCTTCCGGAGTCATCAGGAAAGATGTGCTAGAGCTGAGTGGCAGAAAAGACAAAAATCACCATCTTTATGAATCAAGACCAACATGAACAATTACTATACACTCCATGAATTCCTATCTATGTGGTAGTATTAAGAATGATCAGAAAGACTGCACATAGAAACCTTAAAAGGGAATGAGTATAAAAGATGTGGGAAAAGATGATTGTACCCACCAAATCACAGCTCTCTTAATGTAACCAACAAGCCCAAATGGACCTGTAAAAGTTAAACATTTTTTTCTTTTAGAGACAAGCTCTGTCTCTGAACTTCATGGCTGGTGTGCGACTGTCATCCCATCCTATCTTCAACCCAGAGGAAAGGACAGAATATGCTGATGTAGGTCCCAGGAGGTCAGTTAGTTTCCTTTCCACAGGGAAGAGAAGGAGCAAGGAAGGGCCAAAGGAGCATGAAACAAGAGTGGAATTATCTACTGTCCCATTGTTTCCCTCATTTCCCTCTTCCTTACTATAATAGACCCTTCCACAGCAGGACACGGTGACATGGTGAACTCTGGCTATATAAGGCCCCTCTCTCTCCACAGAGCTTCCTCTGCATAAATGAAACCTCCCTTGGTGTTTTGGAGGGGAATGATCAGGTTATGGATCTGAGAAGCCAGAAACACTTATTCTGTTATTCTGATAATTCTTTCCTTTGATGACTAAGTTAGATAATCCCTTGGACACCTCCCTCTCCATACACCCATGCATTCCGGTATGAGTTTGTCTCTCCTTCCCCTTTCATCTTTGCCTGCCTCTTATCACTCAAGGGGTATTTCCACCAAAGTTCACCTGATTTGTGTCTCCTCTTACTGAGGCCCAAACTGCTGACAAATTCATACGTCAATATAAGTGCCTAAGGGATAGCCTAGAGTCCAAGCTAAATATAAGAAGCTTTGCAGAATCTCTAAGAAAAAAATTAAATGTGGTATTAAAGATAATTTTCCTATTATCTGAAATTATTCACTGTAAGTGATTACCTCCTCATCCTTCAGTTCAGACTGTGATTAAGACCTGTCATTGGCTTGTGAAGTCACCTCATTATATTCTGATCTGAAGTTTTAAATAAAATAAATAGACAAATATCCAAAGTGCAAAGCAGGTTTCTGACTTCAAAATTATCCAGGTATAGTGATGCATCCTGTAATCTCAACATTCTGGGAGGCAGAGGCAAGAGGACTGCAAGTTTGAGCCAAGCCTGGGCAACTTCATCAGATAAAGAAACCCCATAACAATATAAAACATACAAAAGATCTGGGGAGGTAGCCGAATACAATGGTCTTGCATTCATTGCCCCAGTCCTGAAAAAAAAAATCAAAATTATGCAAAAAAATAGACGAATCCAAAGTATAAAATTCAATAACAGTAAATACTTAGAAATAGGCCATCACATTTGGAGTGATTTCAATCTGTTCATGGAAGGCCAATGGGGTGGACAAGAGTGGCTACCAATGGAACAAGAGAAAGAATTTGGGGATGTCCCACCAAAGAGCATAAGACACAGAGGTTAAAAGCAGGAGTGAGCTGTGCAGGTGGGAGGAGTAGGAGGTGTGAAAGTCTTCAGATGTAAAGGCCTGAGCTCACAGAGCTGCTCAAAATTCACTTCACATTTAGTTTCTTGACCAAGTTATCTATAAGTGTCTGAATTTCATCTATTAGATACATCTTCACTGAGATGCATTTTATAATTTCTGATCCGGGACCTCTGGGACTCTATGACTGATGGTAAATAGTCATTTCTCCACAGTGAACCTTCCTAATTGCTGCAGAGATTCCTAGTAAGGCCAGATAAGAGCACACAGAGTACACAGAGGCAAAGTCCTAGCCTTACGGGTTTCTTAATTTCTTTTCATTCTAATAAAATTTTAAAACTACAGAAAAGGTCAATTTACAATTCTACCATCTAGAAGTACATACTCCCAACAGGTTATATTATCTGCTTCCAGTTTTCTTTCTTTAATGAAAGAAAGAGACAAAAAAAGGTAAATTAAGGTTCCTTATCAACAGGTCCCATTTCCATTCTTTTTTCACTTTCATCAAACCCAGCCCCATTGGGATCCTAATGTGTAGTCTTCCAGACTTTCTTTTCGTATTTTCGTACACAGATGGGCTATTTTCTCAATGTGTCCTCCAAAATACATGTGGCAGGTTGTTTTGTTTTGTTTTGAGTCTTGAACTCACTGGCCTCAAACTTGCATCAGTCCTCCTGCCTCAGCCCCTGGGGACAGCGATCACAGGCACGCACCACCTTGCCTGGCCCTTGTGTTGAATCTTAATTGCCAATGGTGATAGGAAGAACAAGTAAACAAGCAGCACCTTGAGTGAGGATGACTAAGTTATGAGGACCAAGCCCTCGTGGCTGGGAGGTGGGCTTTTGTAACAGTTCTGTGCAAATAAGTTCATTTTCTTCTTGCCGTCTACCCCATGAAGACACAGCAGTGAGGCATCACTTTGAAAGCTGGGAGTAGTTTTTCACAGATACCAAACCTGTCTTGACTTTGGATTTGACAGGCTCCAGAACTATGAGAAATAAATTTCTGCTGTTTATAAATTACCTAGTCTGTTGTTTTGTTGTAAGAGCACAGATTAAGACCATATGGCTTTGTGAAAACCATTTAGGCATTCCTTGCATGTATTTTGATTTCTATAAATAGTAATATATTCTCCATCTTTGTTTCATTCACAGTTATGAAGTTTTATTTTTGTTTTAGGTTATTACAATAGCTACCATTATAGAATATTTTCTTTGTACCAGATATTTTAAAACACTTTTGATGGATTTATATATTTAATTCTCACAGTGAAAGTGTAAGTTAATTGATAAAATTATTGCCATTTCAAAAATGAGGAAAACCTCTGGTATTTTAGATGAAGATGAAATTGTTAAGAGTTAAAAATCCTCAACAGTAAGACAGCAAGTATACAGCCTCACTCTAGTTTGTGATGGAGACAATTTCATGATATGCAAAAATAATTGTGTTCCTCTGTATACCCAGTGTTGAACACTTAGGTCATTTACATTTGCTTTTACTCCTAGAAAAAGTAATTTAATATCCCTACATATGTTCCTGGGGGCTGTTTCTCTATAATGTGATTTATGAAGTGGAATGGCTGGATCATGAGATACAATACCACAAACTCATAAAGTGATCAGATTGATGTAGAGTTCTCACAGAAATATATAGAATCATCATTTCCTTCTCATTTTTGCCAGTATATCCCATTGCTAGTGACAGGCAAAAAATAATATTTTAATTTGCACTTTTGTGATTATTCATGAACCTGGGCCTCAATTCATATTTATACTGGCTGTGGGAATCTTTTCTTCTGTTTATTGTTGTTCCCATGTTTTAAATTATTTTTTAATTTGGCTGGTCAGTACTGATATGAAGACTTCTTCAGATAAACAATCAAATTAAAAGTATTACAAGGGAGAATAAAATGGTAGAATTGTATCACTGTTATACAGGCAGTATGTTAAAGATATCAATGAAATTAGATAAATCACATAATAAACAGGAGACAATAGGTAGTAAAAATATGTGTGTATAAAAATAATCATAATAAAAATTAAAACCATCCCAAATACCAAAAATAAAAATCTTAAAGATTAAGGAGCACACATTTCATAAAGAATACAAATAGAAAAGATCACCTGGTATTCATAATTATACAAACTGTAACAGAGTTGAGACCAAACACATAACTTATATCAAAAAATGTAATGGGGTACAAATCACCTTTTAGAAAAATTTTAATGAGGCTTACAAAATAAGGCCTGACCGTATTCTTTAATAAATGGACATACCTAAAACAAAGTTATCTAGAAAGGTTAAAAATGAAAAGATAAACAGAGTATAAACAACTCAAAAGTAAAAAGAATGAAACTGATAAAACATGAATCTAGCCAAAAAGTGGTAAGATATGACAAAGAAAATAACTTAAAATTTAAAAGCCACAACTCACAAAGAAAATTTTAAATTTATAAGTATTTTTATATCAAGTAACAGTGATCACCTTTCTGATAGAAACATACTAATAATCAGAGACTACTACAGGACTCTCAGTACAAGATAATGAACAAAACATAAGTATGGAGCTAGAAAACCAAAACCAGAAAAACAGCAACAAAAAGGAGTAATTCTTACAGATATATGTCAAACTCTACACTGATAATAAAGATCAAAAACTTCTTACTAACTGCCTTTGGAATACTGCCAAAAATGATCACAGAGTCATTTACAAAGGAAATTATTAAACTTTGCATTAAG